CCTCTCGCCTGAGGGAGGGAGGGCAGCGGCCCCGAGGAAGCCGGGGGAGAGGGATGCCGGGCTCCCCGCGCACAGCCCTCGGCGACCGCGGCACCGGGAGGGCGCAGCAAGCCAGCGCTGAGGGAGCCGGAGGGATCAGAAAGCAGCAGAGACAGAAAAGGGGACAAACGCCATATCTACACTGTGAAAGCGAACATGCAGTGCACAGAACAGGCAGTAAAGAAATTACAGCTGGGAGAGGTAGAGACGAACCGCAAGAGCATCGCTAGTGACTCTGGTTGTGAGCGCAACCGCGTCATCACAGAACCAAGGACCCGTGCTAGTGCTGCAACCTTTTAGCAAGGAAGTGCATGAGGAAATATGACAAATAATATGAAAAAATCTCTACCTAGGGAGGGGGAAAAAAAAACAAAACTAAAGACTTATCACAGACAGCCAGACAGTAATGATTTGTCTTCAGCCTGTATTTTAAACTATTTAGAACTATCTAGAAGTCAGATCTTGCTCTTTGTTTTCCATTCATTGCAACAGAAACAGAACAAATACATCTAAACACCACCACCCCCCAAATTCGGTGGTCCACCAAGACTTCTGTATGCCAACGCCTGTTAAAATCCTCCCGCCTATTCAAACACAGCAGCCTGACCTTGCTCTTTCAGTTCCCTTCCTCGATCTGTAGAATTCATACATCTTTTTCATGCTCTTCCCCTTATGCACCAGAAATAATATTCACACCAAGAAGGGGATTAATTTATTGACCCTAAAAATGAGGAAAATTCCTCATTGTTCAAAAGACTGAAATATCTTTCTACATCCAAAGTTATCAGTTTACTTCACTGAGACCCCTGTGAGAATCAAGTTTAGCTTTAAATTTCACACATCACAACAGCTTTTTCTTTCCTTACTCAGGTATTTGCTTTGTTGAATAATATGGTTTATGAACTTCTACCCAGTAGGTCTTTTCAGAGAGAAACACAAATGAGACCAACAAACACTCTCCGCATGTAAAGCGAAGCCATATCAGAAGCGGTAAGAGTTTCCCCAGACCAACTACTCAGAAAGTTGCCCCTCGGTGAGCACAAGGCTTACAGTCACTCTCTCAGGATGAAGTTATGTAGTTACAGCTCCTACAGAAAACACTGCTAGCACAGCACACACCGACCAAGCATCAACCAGGCTGCAGCACTCAACTACTTATTTTCTTTTAAACGAGAACATGACATTTAGAATTCATTTAGAATTAGCCTCATTCACATATTCAAGATCATGGTTTTATGACAGTTTAAAAGGTGAAGTTTCCTTATTAGGCCAGGAGAGACTTCTTGAATTGACTACCTGAATGCATCTGCCTACACGGAACTGGTACCACCTACTCTTCATGGTTAGAGGAGTGCTTCAAAGAGTCAGCCTGTTTGTTCCTCTCACAGATGATCTAAAAAATTAAATCATAGCACAAAAGTGTTTAGTTTAGCTTGAGTGTAACAATGTTTCCCACAGTTTGGTAATAAGGGTTTCTTACATATTTCTAACAATAACAAAAGCAGCTGTACTACTACAGATGAATATGCAAAAGAATGGTTTTCAACAACACTTTATTGAAGCACTTCAAAACGGTCACAATGATAGATGTTGCCTTTAACAGAATAAAACCTGTACTGTCATAATTAAAAGGCACTAATCCTGGCACAAAGGTCTACTTACCCACCTTCCACTGTGACAGAAATAAAAACATCAAATATTTTACTTCTCCTTTAAAGGAGTATGTGCATACCCCCTTAACTGCCATTCCATCTTTATCATTTCAGTGACATGTAAAAGAAACCCCCCCCAAATGTTTCACCAAGGCATACTTTAACGTTCAGCATCGGTACTCCTAAAGCTATAGGCTACTCATTGAAGGTTTACGGTTTAGTGAGACAAGTCCTTCCACACTCAAGTTTTGGGAATAAAAGTCCTGAAGCACAGACTAGTCTCGGGCATTCACACATGACTTTTTTAACACGATTCATTGCTTTGCTGCTCCTGTGATCAGCAATGCACCGCTCTCAGCGAGACAGCTCAAGTAACCCGATTTAGACGCCCTATTCAGAATTCACATGGCTCTCTCTAGTCAGGGCCAGTGCAAAAGCAAGCCAGCATGGAGCAGCACTGGGGCATGCTACCAGGAGGGAGCACATTTCTTTCACATTCAGTAAACACGCACAAAGCGAATCACAACATGCTAATGCACAGCCACAGTAACTATAAAATTAAGCATTAGAAAAGTTAAAAGCTTGATAATCCAGCTAAGTCATACTTCAAGTTATTATAGATCCCTGCACAACATTCCTCTTCATTTAACTAGAGAGACTGTTTAAGGCATTTTCTTTGGCCTCCTTTCTTCTACCAGAAAGTGAAGATTATGCAGTTGTATGTCAGCATCCAAAAAGGACTGTCTTCCCAACCCGCTTCCATCAAGATGCAAAGAGAAAGCACACATTGGTAAGAAACTAGATTATTAGTTCCACAGACCACGAAACAGCTCCACATTGTGCATTTTTCATGTTGCCAAGTGGTAGGACAGAATTGCTCTGTGCAGCTGCTAGGACACTCAGCTCTACTCGGGGTGACGATGAGAATTACGCTGCACTGTAATTGCACTTAAACCACCATCTACACTTAAGTTCATAGGACTTTAATGCTCCAAGGAAAACTTTCACACAGCGCAGTGCTGTGGCTATACACACAAACATTTCTTCCTAGTCTAGAGACGCACTGTTTTATGATCAGTAAGAGTGATCACTTGTATGGAGCAAAACCAACAGCAAGTTCAGCAGACAAGACTGCTAATGCCTATCTTAGGCTCCACACCTTTACTAGAACAGAAAAGGTCGAACTTTGGACTTCACTGTGCCAGGTGAGCAAGTAGTTTTTTCAGTCCAAGACTGAAAGGTGGCAAGAACAGCCTCACCTCAGGAAAGACTTACTACACATCCCTTCTGTTTCAAAATGAAGGTAGTTGGGAAGTTAATCAAGCCCTCAAAAAGAAAAGCGTAATCCTCTGCACCGGATTCAAATAGTGTCTTCAAGGTCTACATTTCTGCCATGTGAGCAACTAAAGGCATCTGGAAGAACCGTACAAGGATGGCTGTGAAAACCTAGATGGAGTCATCTCGGGAAGTAATGCAAATGTACTTTTTAAGAGTATACACATCATAGGTGGTCAGTGTAGCTCTCCTTGCCAGTTACATTTAGAAGTAGAAACTCTTACTTAAACACCACATCAAGCAAGTTGGCCAAGTTCACACCACAGCTGATTTAAGTCATTAGTACCAGCATCAGACCAGCCAGGGTGACAAATCTTACAGCAGCAACACTGTTTTCAGGTTTTGTGTCAAGTGGCATTTTACTTTGAACGCCAACTCCAGGAAGCTTGTTTTGCATGCAGGAAACCCCATCAACTGAAGAAATGTGCACATAATCTTTTACTCAAGAGTTCCTTAGTCCTTCCCACCACCTGAAGGATGCTAAGTGACCAGTACTCAGGCCTAAAAACTAACCTGCTACAGCTCAGTCAGTCTGAAAGCTTACACGGAGACAGGCCGTGAAGAGAAGACATGCAATTTGTTACCGTTACTTGGAAGATGTTGACATACGGTCCTGTAAGTTAATCGGTGACCCAAGAGAAATTAATGCAGCAAAGTGTTTGGGAAGAACAGTCAGCATAACTTCAGATTACAATCACGACAAAGATTTTGTTCAAGACCTCAGTCAAGGAAAGCCTCACTTTCCAATGAGATAAGAACCTTTACGCTTTAATTGGCAGTGAATGATCAGGCACTGCTAGATCCGACACTTGTGCTAGAAAAGCAAAGGTTTTACTCTAGGCTTGACAACAAGAAACAAGCTTGTAGACACATGCATTTTTCTCCTGCAAACAGAGCTCCAGAAGGCCGCCCCTACTCAAGACCCTTCAGCTGCCCAGTGCTTTTCATAAACATAAAAAAGCACCAAAGTCTGCTGAGAGCGACTAGCTAAGCTTGCTTGTGTAAACTGAGAAAGCCCCAGGCCTGGAAGGCAGTTTTATAGGCATTTCACTTGAATAGTTGAAGCACAGAACACAAAGAAGCTCAGGTATTTACCGAGCCTTCTTCCTACACTGTAATCTTGTGGGACAGGAGACGGATATCCCATAACGTATTTCCATGAGTTAAGCCACATCAACTCAAGTCAGTTAAGTGTCAATACAACCCTCAAAACATAAGTTTATTGAATAAAGCTGAAGAGCAGTAAACCAACATATGCATCCACCTAAATAAAAAAATTCACGTATTTACAAAGTTCAGTAATTGTATAAGTTGTTCACATGCAGAGAGTAATGCACAGGTTAACAATTGGTAGTGTTTGGATGCCATAAACGCTGAAAGCAGTGAAGTATATAAACACCAAACACATCAAGTTTAGCTATAGGCCAGTTAACTAAACAGTGACCTGGTCCCCCACAAAGATTCACACATTCTAGTTTATTTTCCTTATTTAGGCACAAGCAAATTTGCTAAATAAAAGTAACTGTAGCAGTTCCTGGTGAACTAGGGACTACAGTAGCAAGTTAATATACCCTCTCCTCTACAGCACCAGAGTATGAATTAACTGAAATCATGCTTCAGAGAACTGAAAGGGGACAAAAAGTTAAAATGCAAGTTCAGACCGAATGCAGGCAGCACGTAGTGTCTGTGCAACAGCGCGATAGTTGGTACAGAACAGTAAGGCCATGGCAGTCTAAGTTAAAACTGGCTTGTCATAACTGATGGACTACACGGTGTTTCCAACCAAAGGCTCTGACACAATGCAAACTACATTTAGGTGAAGAATCACACACAGTGTGAGGCAACACAAGCAGGTGTATGATGTATTTGCATACACTAGTAAGCTACACTGACATTACTGTATGAACAAACCAGTCTTAAGTCTGTTCCTTTAAATATACTGAAGTCATTGAGAAAGTAAAGCTACAAAAACATTACAATCTTTAGTTTGTACATACTTCCCTATACTGTAGGAGCTAGTCAAGAAACAGGATCGATTCATTGGCTCTCTTGTGCTTTGACACAGTAGAACATTTCATCTTGCAACTTACAGACTTTGCACATGGTTACATCAAGAAAGCAGGCAGGTCTAGAGTTGTCACAATAGCCTAGATATTCCATAGCACCAGGTGAAACTGTGCCCAGCCATTTCATGAGCAGGAGAGACACTAGACAATTACATAGATATTGTGCTAAAGGTTGACTGACTCTATACAAAAACACCAGTAACTTAAGTGTCATGCAGCTGCTCAGAATGTGTGTTCTGGTTTCAGATAGAGACCACTAGTATCTGTAGATAGAAAAATGTATTTGAACAAAGTCTGATGTTCCTAGCAATTTGTTTTCATGCTGAAATACTCCAATTTTGGTAAGCTTGACAAAACAGTCCATCCCCATCCCCCGCACAAATGTTAAACAGAAGCAACGAAATGATTTTAAACAGTTGACTCTTTCCTAATTCATCATAAGAATTTTCTTTTTCGAGTGACAGGGTAAGATCTCAGCTGTAGATTAGTGATGCTGATCTATGCCTTGTGCTCCCCTCTGCAAACAGTTTCCATTTCTCTGCTTACATACACACATCACATGCATTTGTGAGATAAATCAGTATCCCACAACTCACGCTTAAATGTTTTCTAACTACTGTATGTGGCATCTTACAGAATCTTAATGCTGTCAAGCATCAGCATCTTCAAGCCACTAAACGCTAGAAATAAAACACTTGCTGAAAATCATATAAAAACCTGGCCCTGAAAAACCAGAACAGAGTGTACCATCATAGTTAACATGGTAGAGAGATTTTTTTTTTTTTAAAAAGCCCCCCCCACAACCCACCCACCACAGATGGTTGTAAAATAAATATTTGTGCTGACTTTATCATGACAACTCTAGTTGTTTTGTGACAGAATAGGAATACAAGTCTTCAGCAGTGCACATGAGAAATGAACCGTGAAAAGGCAGATTCTTGATACAGGATTTTTGGGTAATATCTCATTATGGAGGGAAGTGGACAATTGAGATTATGGCCAACTGGTACTGGAGATTCCAGGAAGACTTCAGCTTCTTCTAGATTTTGAATGCTGAATAAGCCACTGAAGCGTGATATCTAAAGAGAGAGAGAGAAGTTCAGTTCCATATTCAAGTGTCTATTTGTATAACTGGCAGGGCTTTGGTATGCCAGTGTCCTCAAATACATGACAGGAATATCCAGCCCCTCTCTAAAGGATGGTCCAAGACAGATCAACAGAAGGATTTTTTTTGAATGCTTGCTGTCAGTGCTTTGGTCCTATAACTGCCCAGCATCCTTTAAGTAACTTTTCACAGAATTGCCCCAGTCCTCCTGGTTCCTCAGTCCACTACACCTCTAGAAAAAAAGACATCCTTTAATCTGATACTTTGCTATGGCTCACATAATTAGTTTTAGATCAACACTTGTCTATTTAGCCAGTCTGCCTCTCCTCACTGGTGAGAGCAAAGTCAGTTTAGCCCTACAGTACAAGGCATCAGGCTGCCCCATGCTTCAAAGTGGGTCTCCCAAGGAAGTGACATGCACTAGCATCACACCAGCCCAATGCTTCCAGCAGCACCTTCCCTATAGCATCAGTGGTGCTCAGCTGTGCTGTGAGCCTTGTGCAGGAGACAGGATAGAAGGGAGTATCTGCTCCTCCTAGCCACCACGTTCAAATCTTTTACTGATGGTAAGGTGACAGGGGCTTCTTGGAGAAGAAGCCAGAAGAGTTCCACAGGCTGTTCATTCTTGTTGGTAAGAAGTTGAGTCCTTAATAAAAGCAGTCCTGGTATCCTCTACAGCTTCCTCCTGTGACCACCAACCTCAAGTTTCCCCATCAGTAAACTCATGTCAGCTTGCCAACGAAGCAATGTTAATCTCACAGCAGCCACAAGAAGGCATCAGGAGAGGGGTGGCCAGCCTTGTTAAGTACTGTGTTTTCATTTAGTTGCAAATACTCAGTTTACTTACAATATAGCATCAAGTCCTTGGTATTAAACAGTAGCAGGGTTTCTGCCTTTGAACTCCAGAAATTCTAAAGCAATTGATGTCAGCACCAGAAAAATCTACTGTTTGGCTGCATGGCGTAGTGACTAGCACAGGCCACAAGACGAAGCGCTTTGATAAGACAGCAAGGGAATATGATTATTTCAAGGGAATAACTGTTGAGGAAAAACTTGCTGCAAGTACTTGCTAGCCTGATGAAGTGAGGCAGAGTTGAGAGTACCAGACAGAAGTATAAAATCATTTAGGCCAAGCTAATAGTGAGACTAGTCAGCTATTTTCTGCAAACTGAAGAAAGGCAGCAGATTTCACAGGAGACTGACATGTGTTTTCATAACTACAACCCCTACACAACTTCAATACCAGTCAAGCTTCCTCACTGCCATCAGGAGTTATACCAAATTTAACCAGTGAGCTTATACCCTGTTCTTTGATTTGTTACCAGTTTCCTGAAGCCAGGAAGCTTGTGTTTAAGAAGTTACAATCCCCCAATCCATCCTCCAACAGCACTTCATAAAGCTTAGCATTTTAAGTGAATAGTTACCTATATTATCTTTCTCTTTGCACGAAATTGAGTAGCAGCAGATTTCTCTGTCCTGAATAGCAGCAAGGTTCCTGTGAAAGAGAGACTACTTCAACATTCACTTCACTTATAACAAGGACTCATACTGAGAATCTAAACTGTTCCACTTCATCTTCTCCACATAACTTGTTTCTGTGCAATGTTTTGGCTACCTCCCATTGATGGGTTTTCAACTTATACATGCAAGCTTCTTGATCTAACAACCCTATATGGACATTAATTCACTTCTTGAGTAAAGTAGCCTTTCTTAGGAAGAGTTAGACTTACATTTTTTCAATTAGCTGTTTCTCATCCAAAGCATTAGGAAGGTCTCTCTTATTTCCAAGTACTAGAACCTGAAATCCAGAGCAGAAGAAAATGGTTGCAGCTTTGCTTTTTAAAAACAACACAAACCCCCCCAAAAACCCAAAACCAACACAAGCAACCCACAAACAACAAACTTCAGGGGAGTCTGACAAGCAGTTTGCACTAGCCTATTAAATCTAACAGAATGAGACATTCACTATTAAACCAGGTCAAGAAGGAAGACTGACCTAGTCACAGGGAAAGA